CCCTAAACCCTAAACCCTAAACCCTAAACCCTTAATTATAAAAGTAAGTACATATAAATAAAGAATAATTAAATGTATTATTATTATTATTATTCATAATATAAAATTATTATATATTATTATTATAGTACAAGCATGAGATTGTATATTTGAGGATGACTTAAATGAATTAATTTGTACAAGTTATACTGACAACATACATATACATTTCGGTAGCTTACTCATCAGAACTTCATAATTAAGCGTGCTTGACCTGGAGTAGTATAGGGTCGGTGACCTTTTGGGAAGTTTCCCAAAAATTGCGCAAGTAAGGATAAAACACACTAAAAAGTGAAATATCGTGAAATAGAATCCTTAAGAGGCCAAATATGAGGGCTGTTACATTAATAAATTTATTAAAATTAAAAAAAATTATAATTTCTGACAGAAATATCCGTCGAAAATTTACAAAGGACCAAGATAACTTCGATTTCACACCACTACACCGCTGCTTAAACTTGCTCATATCTCGGATAAGTTTCTCACACCAGCCAAATTACGCATATGCATCATAAGTCATACACGCAAAACGTCTTAAGCACAAGATCTCACAAAAACAATTTCTCACTTCATTATAACTCATTTACAAATATTGTCAAGTTAAAGGACTACCAAGGACCTCTCAACAATTTTGTTTAAAGTTAACAAACTCGTACACTTTTGCAATGATATAAAAAGATCATATGACAAAGGAAATACTATGAATCAGGTCACACCTCAAGTTTTCTAAAATTAATAAATTTAAATAGGGATATATATATATATATATATATATATATATATATATATATATATATATGTTAAAGACTTTTAATAATTAAGATTGTTTTTAATTTAACATAATAATAAATGTTTACAAAATTGTTTTGTATAATATTTAGTTGAGAAATATGTGTTTTTATAATATTTTTCTAAAAATAAAAATTTAGAGAAAAATATTTTCTTTTTATATTTGTTAGGGAAAGGGTGTTTATATTTTAACATAAGATAGGAGGGAAATGAAAATTTTGAATCTTTTGGAAAAGCGAAATATATTGTATTCTGTGATTTTTTTTCTTCAAAATATACAATAGAATACTGATGACTAATTCAGTATATACCATGTAAAAGAGAAACATTTTGAACAAAAAATATTTTTTATAGAGATATTAATTATATGTTTTTTAGTTTACATTGCAACTTTAATTGATACTCAGCAACATCTTTAATTGATAAAGCGAAAACAGTTATGTATTTTTATCCCATTTTTGTTTACTCTTTTAGTGAATTTTGTCTAAATTTAAGTTTTATATTATAACATCTTTTATCATTTTTGGTGATGTGAAAATATAAAAATAAATAGAAAAGGTATTAGAGTCAATCCACCTATTACAAAAGGTTTTTGAATTATGTTAAAATTCACGAAAAACTATATTTTCGTATTTAGAAAAAGAAAATAAAAGGAGTATGGTGTATTCATTTAGTTGTCTTATGAAAATGAACAATAAAAAACTGATGATTCATGTTTTAGATACCATTAAAGAGAGAAAAAGAAGAAGAATAAATAATACATAAATCTATAAAAAAAATATATATATTATTGTTAAGTAAAACTAGTTAAACATACATACACATAT